ATTGATGTATGTATGGATTGTGATCAGATTTGTATGAGCCCCTAATAGAATGATTAAAAACAAAAACAAAAAAACAAACGGAGCCAGCAAGACGATATCCGTGAGCAGAAACATGATGGGACACGTAACCCACACCGTGCACAAAAGCTTAAAATGAATCAAAGCTCTAAAATTAAAAATTATAAAGTACAAAACTAAATAAATAAATCCAAGCTATAAAGTCCTGTCAGAAACCCACAGGGCCCCATTTCCCCTGTTCTGTAGGCTCTCTATGAGCTGGAATCGACTTGATGGCAATGAGTTTGATTTGGAGTTACATGTATATCTTAAAAGCCACTTCAAAAGAAGTGACCTCACCTCAACTGGGGTCAGTTTTCGAAGAAACAGGGAGAGGGAGAAGACCATTTCAGTTGTTGCCATACAACATTGTGCTAAGGTCACCCCAAATCAACACACTCCTACGAGAGTGATAATCGAACCTTACTGGGAATTCAAGTCAAGATGGGAGAGCAGGACGTGTAAATCTCAGAGAAGGTGATTATCTTTCCATTGGGGATTAACTCAGAGGAGCAACCTCTCATCAGGAAAAAAAAACAAACCTTAACAATATTTATACTGAACCCAAGAGGGAGACTATGGTTGGTACTGTTTCCAAATGGGCACTTTTGACTTAGTTTCCATGCCGCCCTTGATGATTTAGGTCATGTGCTGTAGAGTATTGGGACTTTAGACTCTGTCCTTTTGAGGTGCAGAACATCCTTCCTAGGCCATACCAGAAGAACTTGATGTGGAAACCCCACTACATGAACTAGGCATTACTTCAAACTCACCTGTAGCCCTGGGACTTGGGGCTGAAACTCCCTAGTGTGAGAAGCTGACTGCTATCCCAGAGTTACGCAACTGGCAGTTTCTGAACTTTGGTTCAGATCTCTTGCCTTGAGGGTTCCCAATGAATGGTGGCTTGGGACTACCATATACTTACTATTTTAATGCTTTATTGTGACATGTATTAGTCTAGTAGGCATGATTCTGGCTTTGTGAATGAGTGTTACTGGAAGTTTTGCCCTATCACCAGTGCCCATTGTTTGTGTAAATCATGTCCAGTCA